AGAGGGAACAAATGAATGCTCAGAATCCAGAGCATAAGTTGAATGCAGACCCTCTAGCCATCGGGTGACGCGTCCTCAGCTCTTCATCTCACCACTTACAAATAGAGCTAAGTCACGGGAATAAAAGGGTTTTGCTGTTGTTGTAAACATATGTAACACAGGTTCAGCTTTCTATAAGGACCTCGGTTTGCTCCCTACCATCCTTAAAAAATGCCAGGTGCAGTGATGGACTCTTTCAATCCCAGCACTGGGGAGGTAGAGACAGGAAGATCCCTGGGGTTCACTGGTCAGCTAGCCTAGCCTACTTGGTAAGCTCCAGGTTAGTCAGAGACCCTGTCTCAAAAAATAAGGTGGACAGTTAAAAGGACCATTTCAGGTTGGCCTGTGACTTCTACACAGATGTATACACACACATACACACACACACACACACACACACACGCACACACACCCTTACACCCACCCACCTGGCTACATTTAAACAAAAATAGAAATATATGGAGCATAAAATGTATCGTGTTACCCATATACAAGTGTACAGCGCAGTGGCACTGGGTACACTCATTTGTGTACAACCATCACTACTGTCAAGTTCTAGAACATTTTTCTAAGTGTAAACTTGGACTCATGAAACAACCCCCCTTCTTCCTCTCTCTAAGGCCCTGGCAGCTGCATTTGATTTTCCATCCCTATGAATGTGCTGCTCCAGACCCTGCGTGTGAGTACAGTGTGCCGGGAGTGTTCCTTCACGGGCTTGGTTTAGTACAGTCAAGAGTCTAGAACAATGCTGTGGTCAACTGTGAGGCACAGGGAGCGCCCGTGACTCCTGTAGGGCCAGGAAGAGGAGTGGCTGAGGCAATGCCTACACAGTGACTGGGCTTGGCCTATGTGCACCCTGTGCATGGGAAAAGCAGTTATGGCTGCCTCAGAGGGACAGCACTGTGCAGAGGACAGAGCAGCCAGATCACGGTGGAGAATGAGGACATCACCGGAAGCTGGGGCTTGCATGCTCTTGGCTACTGCCAGGGAAGGAGGAAGCAGAAGGAAACGGGAAGTGGAAAGGGGAGATTGGGGCAGCGAGGGCTAAGGGGTGTGTTCTGGGGAGATGAGGGAAGTGAGGAGATGGGGAACCTGGGTGAAAGGTGTGCTGTATGAAGGGACCAGAGGGTATGAAGCCAACCATTGGGCACCTACTGTATGATCTTGTCTCATTTAGGGAGATGGAACATAAGGCATCATATCCTGGGGACTAACTGAGGCCCTGACATATGACCAAGGGAAGTCAGACACATCCTGAGAAGTCAAATCCACCAGGATGTCAGGGACAAGGGTGGGACAGGGGTGCAGTGCCAGTTTGGAGCAAGAACGGGAAGACTAGGGAGTGTGGAGGCCTGAGGAGTTGGGTGAGGTTGGATGTGAGGGGAGAGTGAGAGACAAGGCCAGAGGATGCAGCTAAAGTTTGGGGAATGATTACAGCGAAAAGATAATGTTAGCAAAAGCCTGGACGGGGGCAGAGCCAAGACAGAGGAGCGTGAATCAAGGCTGGGGGTGGGAAGTCTTGGGTGACATCTAGGGGACCAGGAAGCCAGGAGCATCAAAACCAGCTGCGGTGGCTCACCATGGATGATGGTTAGTTGTGTCCCCTTAATCGACTGCCAGTCCTGCGTGACTTCTCTCTGTGTGTTCAGATGAACTGGGCAGGAGAACGTGGTCTGGTCCACCTCCTGCAGGCTCAGGCACCGGATATTTGACCCTGTATTCAGTCTAAGATGAGCTGATTTTTGAAGGCCTCATACATGAAAAGTTGGGTGGTATTAAGGGAAAACTTCCCATGGAAGTTCTTCCCTCTCTATAATATCCTCATCTGGGGATTATCTGTCAACTCCCAGGGGGAAGGAGAAAACAAAGGCGATCCCGATGGAGTTGCCCTTGACTCCAAAGAGGTATAGTGTTTGGATGACCCCTAAGTTGCTTTCTTTGTTGTATCCTGAGGATGGATGGGGACAATTCAAAGCTACTGCAGAGGACAGAGTGTAATCTCAGACCTTCCTGAACTCTCATCCCCAGGCAGGTGTGAGACAGCTGACAGGATTCTCTGTGGAGCTGATAGAGGGGGAAGAGAGTGAAGGGTTGGGTTAGACTCACTCTGAGAGACCAGCCCTTTGCTGTGGCTAAGACAACTGGCTGCCTCCCTAGCAGACACTTGTGCACGTGGTAGCCCACTCTCCCCAGCCCCGTTGGTTCCTCCTGTGGTTAAGGCAGAGTCTCTGCTAGTGAGGTCCCCACCACTCACCAGCCTGCAGGGATGCTGGTGACAGCAGCAACAGCAGGATCCAAGCCATGGCCTGATTCCCTCCAGGGGATGAGAGAAGCAGAGCCATCCAGAAGGAGAGGAGGCCCTGTGGAGGTGCTCAGGAGCTGGGAAAGGATCCAGAGGAGAGGCCTGGATTCCCCTGGGCCATGCTCCTTTAGAGGACTGAGAGAGGGTGGGACATCCTGTGACCAGCAACTTCCTTTGTTCCAACTTCCTTGCTTGTGTTGCAGAAGAGCCTCCGTTATGGCCCCTGACAAGATGGCCCTGTCCTGGGGCGTAGCCCCCGTCTTCTGCTGGGAGATGTGGTTCTGACCTTGACTGACCATGTGCCTCTCTCTCACTGCCTTGCCATGGAGTCTGTCCCATGTCCTGTGATGTCCATCACTGACTGCAGACCCTTACTGGTTCATGCCACATGGAACGGGCAGAGGCCCACATGCATGATGTATTTACGCTGAGCCTCCTTTCTGTGTTCTTACAGTTTAGAGTGGTGTTTATGCTTGCAGGCCTAAGCACCTGGCTTGCTTTAAGGTGGTATGACTGGCTCAGCCATTGTTTATCAGCTCACCCCCTTCTCACGTACTTTTCTTCAACCACAAGGGTAATCTTGTTCTAGTTCAACACTGGGCCAGGGAACCTGCAAATATCTCCAAATGAGTGCTAAGTGGTTTTACTTAATCTCTCTTGTTTTAAATTTGTATAATACTTATTGTGCTGTGTGTGCACATGCATGCGCATGCCCGCATATACAAGGAGGTCAGAGGATATGTGGGTCCAAGGAATCAAACCCAGATTGTCAAGCTTCGTGGCAAGTACCTTTACCCGTTCAGCCATCTGGCTGGCCGAGTTTTCCTTCTCTAACCCAGATCTCCGTCCTGGTTCTGCAGGATGCAACCAGATACCAGATACACAATTGCCGGAAATTCCAAAGAATGCATAATGCACAAAGAAAGGAGAGGGGGAGGAAAGCTGAGGCAATACCAGGCAAATACTCTAACTTTACTGCTTTTAGTTGTTTGAAAATCACTGATTTGGGAGGTCATGCAGCTGAGCAAGGAGGTATCGGTACTGCACAAGCTTTGCTGTATAAATGGCACCTTGGACTGAAGCTGTCTTGTAGCTTAAAACAGTCCAGTGAGCTACCTGTGTTCTCCTCCAGCAAAAGATGCCTCCTGTGTTTCAGTGATTAACCACAGGTTACTACACCTGAGAAGGGAGCTAGACAAACACAAGCGGTAAGAATCACAGATCGGGGGCTGGAGAGATGGCTCAGTGGTTAAGAGCACTGGCTGCTCTTGCAGAGGGCCCAGGTTTGATTTCTAGAACCTACATGGCAGCTAACAACTGTCCATGCCTCCAGTTCCAGGGGAATCTGACGCCCTCTTCTGATCTCCATGGGCAATGCATAACACGGGTATACTTACATACATTCAGGCAATACACTCATACGTACACATAAAATAAAAATAATCACTGATCAGTACCTGTTCTCTAGAGTCACTGAACCCAGCAGTAGCCATGGTCACAGTGACCTCTGCCACCGGGGTGGAGTTTTCTTAGAACGTCCCTGAAGAGTGCACTCAAGCAGGTGCTGTGATGACAGTCTGTCCAGTCATCAAAAGGAGCGACTGTTCATCAGTTCCCTACTCAAGGAAGGTGGGCACAGGGAAAGGACCTGACAGCTGTCAGTCAAATGGTCACCTGACTTTCCAGGACAGTATCCATTCAAAAGGGAAAAACATCAAAGGGGCCAGCAGTAAAGATTTGTCATGGGAGCAGCATTCTGAGCAACATTCAACAGGGCTTAACCCCTTAGTCAAATACTGTTAGGGAGAGCTGGGTCTCTTTGCTCTGTCAAGGGGACATTATGGTTAGATTGTGAAGCAGACTTTGGATTTCTAGCCTGGCTACGAGTGTTTGGTATGTATGTTCTCTGGCCTGGGTCATCAGTAAAAAATAGTGGTAGAGTAAACCAGGTATGGTGGTGCATGCTTGTAATCTCAGCAAGTGGTAGGTAGAGACAGGAGGACCAGGAGTTCAAGGTCATCTTCTGCTACGTATAATGTTCAAGGCCAATATGGATTACACAAGAATCTGTCTCAAAACAAAACAACAAAAAACCCTTGAAGTTAAAAAAAAAACATATTATTTTGGTTGTGGGCCTGAGCCTTTAACGGCTGTGCTGGTGGCACATGCCTTTTATCCCAGCACTCGGGAGGCAGAGGCAGGCGGATCTCTATGAGTTCAAGGCCAGCCTGGTCTACATAGTGAGTTCCAGGACAGCTGGGGCTACAGGGAGACCCTGTCTCAAAAAGGACCCCCCAATTTTTTTTAATTTATATTTTTATTTTGTACGTTTGAGTGTATTACCTACGTGTGTGTAAGTGCACCCGTGTCGTGCAAAGCCTGCGGAGGTCAGAAGAGGGCTTCGGATCCCTTGGAACTGGAGTTACAGATGGTTGTCAGCCACCATGTGGGTGCTGGGAAAAGAAACTAGGGCCTCTGCAAGAGCAGTCAGCACTATTGACTACTGAGCCATCTCTCCAGTCCCCCATTTTTTTTTTTTTTGGTCTTTTTGAGACAGGGTCTCCCTGTAGCCCCAGCTGTCCTGGATTCGCTATGGAGACCAGGCTGGCCTCAAACTCACAGAGATCCACCTGCCTCTGCCTCCCAAAGGCTGGGATTAAAGGCGTGTGCTACCATGCCTGGCAATTTTTTTTTTTTTAATTACTAGAAGAGAGGTGATAGATGTGAGTTGTTTGTCAAAGTTCATTTTTTGTGAGAGAGAGAAGTTGCAGGTGATGCCAGTGTTCTCCTTAGATCCATGCAGGCAAATTCTGTGGGCATTATTATATTCTTGAGCAACAGAAAGGTGAAGAGGGAACTGGCAGTTTCTGTGAGTTTCAAATTTGCGAATTTCTGAGTTTCTGCCTCTGGCCTTGGGTATCTTGGAAGCTGGGAGGCTTCCTACCAGAAGTCTAGGTGACCCTGAGATTGTGCTCCATCGCATTCATTAGGCCTTTAGGACAGAGGGTAGAGTCTCTTTCTGAGGTTCCCATGAATGGGGGCAGGAGGTGCTTCTGGTAAGTTTAGACTGGAGAGGGCAAGGGAGGTGTAGACGATGCCATCAGCCTGGAGGAGAAACAAAAGAGGTTAGATGGCAACAGTGCAGCGTCCATTGTACAGCAGGAGCCACAGCTTTCGTGTCCCACCCACACCACAGGCCTCTGCCTTCCACCATCTTCTCCAGCCTCCCCTTTCCTCCTGCAGGTCCATGTTTGAACTACTTATAGTGGGGCTCCATTTGGGGGCTGTATGTTGTCCTAGGAGGAAAAAGTCAAGGAGTACTGAGGTAGATGGTGTGACAGGAAGGGTGGGCAGATGGACAGGAGGCTTCATCAATGAGGTTATCTGCTAGGTCACGGTCTATGGGGCCTGTGGTGTGGGTTGTTCTAGGGAAGGTGCTAGTGTCAGATGGTAAATATGAAGGGTCTACCCTGTTCTCCACTGTCCCTGCCATGGGGAAAAAACAGTTGTGTAGGAAAATAAGTCTAAGTGCTGTTATCATTCTGAGGGGCTGGAACCTGCAGAGGTCACAGAGCCTGGTTAGGGGGAGGTCATGGGGGATGAGGACTGGGTTAGTATGAGGTGACAGATTGGCTATGAATGATGCTTTTCATGATTTTGTGTATATGCCTGTGAGTCTGCATGTGCGCAGATGCACATGTACAAACATATATGGGCATGTGTATAGAGGCCAGAAGACAAATCAGGTGTTATCTCTCTGGTCACGATCCATCTTTTTTGAAACAGGGTCTTTCATTGGCCTGGAGTTGGCTAATGAGGTTAAAGGGGCTGGCCAGCAAGTCCCGGGGATCCACCTGTTTCTGCCTTGCCGTCCCTAGGATTACAAGCATGTGCTACTGCACCCAAGTTTCTGTTTTGTTTTTGTTTTGGGATAGGGTCTCATGATGTAGCCCTGGTTGACCTGGAACTCAAAGAGATCATCCATCTTTTCCTGCCTCCCAAGTGCTGGACTTAACGGTTTATACCACTACACCTGGCCACATCCAAGTTTTTAATGTGGGTTCTCAGGATCAAACACAGGTCCTCCAGCTAATATAGCAGGCACTTTACCATCTGAGCATTCTCTCCAGCCCCTTGCATAATCTTATCACAACTTTCCAAACCAGTATCTGTGCTCCCACCCTGCCCCTTACGAGGACAGGCACTCACCTGGCTGGGCTTTCAGCGTTAGTCTGCTGGCCTGCAGAAGACACAGTATGTCAGTGTGACCTCCATGCTGATCCTGCATCCCGCCTCTCAGCTGTGCTCTATGTTCAGACAACATTACAGGAAGGGCCTGGAATGAGCAGAAACCTCAATCAAGCCTGTGCACCTGTCCTTTGTCCCCAGAATAGCTTTGCTGTGTCCATTGCTACAGTCCCCATCACTTCCAGTCTCCTTTGCTTCCTTCCTTCCCCTTGAGCTCCCTCTCACCCCACATCTGCTTTCCCTCCGCTGCACTCCCCCCCCCCCGCATAGGAACTGCTTCTCCAGCTCCTCAGCGCTGGCTCTTTCATCCCCACATATTCCAGTTTCATCCAGTCAGACTTCTGCTGCCTGGGTCTATTCCACCTCAGCTGGTCCTACTGGGTGGTACCCTTCCTGGAGACCATGGGACCATGCACGCTAAGCTTTGCTTCTGGTCTTTCTATGCCATTCTGTTGCTCCATCTGCCTTGGTATTGATGCCCCGCTGTTTTATTACCATAGTTCTTAGTATGTTCTGAAATCAAAGTCCTCCATACTCAGAATCCTTGTGAATTTTAGAAGATGGTTTATTTATTTTTTATGAAAATGCCACTGGATATAATAAGAATGGCATTGAGAGGCTGGAGAGATGGCGCAGGGGTTAAGAGCATTGACTGCTCTTGCAGAGGATCCGGGTTCGATTCCCAGCACCCACATGGCGGCTATGAACTGTCCTTAACTCCAGTTCTGGGGGAATCCAAAGCCCTCTTCTGACCTCCGTGACATTGCACAACATGGGTGCACTCACATACATGTAGGCAATATGCTCATACATAAAATAAAAATAATAAATAAAATATTTTAAAAGAATGGCATTGAATGTTTAGATTGTTCTGAGTTGTAAGGACTTAACGTATCAGTTCTTCCAGTCCACAAAATGAGATATTCTTCCACTTATTTGTGTCCTCTTTAATTTTGTAATTTTTTGTGTGTATATGTGTATGTGTGGGCAATTATATATGTGCATGTATGTGCACATGTGTGTATTCATGTGTATGTGGAGGCCAAAGGGCAACCTCAGGAGTTATGTCTTAGGAGCTATCCACCTTGTTTTTCAAGGCAGGGTTTGTCACTGGCCTGAGGCTTATCAACTAGGCTATACTAGTTGGCCAACAAGACCCAGTGATCCTCCCAAGGCTAGGATTACAGGTGCACACCCCACACCCAGCTTTTATGTGGGTGCTAGAGATCTGAACTCAGATCCTCATGCTTGCAGGGCAAGCAGTTTGCCCACAGAGTCATCTCCCTGGCCCCAGGATCTGCATTTTTACCTAGCCCATTCATAGTTCCTATGTTGATGGTGCTGGGAAAACTCCCAATAGGCAGCTGGGGTGGGGGGGGCCTGTCCTGGACCACTTACCTTTTCTTCCACCTGAGGAAGATCATCAGTGCACAAACTGGGATTATGAGCACAGCTGTACCCACTACCGCCCCAGCTGTGGCTCCCAGATTCAGAAGTGAAGGCTCTTGGTTCCTCTGGCCCTCAGTATCATCAAGGCCAGCTGTGGGGACTGCAAAGGTCACATTGGTGGAACTCTGCATGGTGGTGCCGATGCCTGGGAAGAGACGAGAAATCAGTGGACCTGCCAAAGTGATGAGGCAGCAGTGCCCTATCTTGTTTGGGTAGAAATGGGGTGGAGAGCAGCTTTCAGAAGCTCACACAGTGACAGGGAAATACTGACGGCTGAGCATCCAGATGAGCAAGGCTGACCCTCATCCTTGTAGGTTTGTCCTCAGACCCTCAGCTCATCCTTTATAAACAGGGATAACTGAGTTACAGGATAAAAAGTTACTTTTGGTGCTGTAGATATATGTAACATTAGGGAGCTGGAGAGATGGCTCAGTCAGTGAAATGCTTGCTGAGCGGGCAGGAGGAGCCACATAAAGATGTGGGCCTTGGCATGCTCTTGTAATCTCCGTGTTAGGGAAGGTGAAACCGGCAGATCCCCAGGGCTTGCTGGCCAGCCAGCCTAGCTGAAGAGGCAAGCTCCGAGCCGGCGGGAGACACTGTCTAAAAAACCAAGACAGACAGCACCCGAGGAGAGGCACACAAGGTTGACCTCCGGCCTCCACACACCTGCACGCACCCACACAAGCGAACATATGCACACAATAACTCTCCCCACGTGTACAGACACACTATGTGTGCTAACACTCTTTCAGCCCCCCACGCTAAATACAAGAAAATAAAAGCATAAGTAACAAACTATCCCATGCTAACCCTATGCACGTCCACAGTGCAGTGGCACTGGGTATTTTCATTTAGTTCTACAACCATCACTAAGGTTAAGTTCTAGAACATTTACGTAATTGTAAACTCAAGACTCCTAAAACAACTTCCTCTTCTCTCCTCTCTGAGCCCCTGGCAGCCACTGTTTCACTTCCTATCTCTACTATATGGCTTCTCTACACACTGCACATGAGTAGGACAGTACTGTGTCTTTCACAGGTTTGTTTTAATACACTCAAGAGCCCATAGAGTGCCCACAGCTATTGTAGGGCCACGGTGAATCATAGCTGTGGCAATGTTCACACAGTGACCAGGCTGGGCCTCCATGCACTCACATGTGTGGAAGCTGCAGTTACTGCTGCCACAGAAGAGCCAGCAATAGTGCCCAGAGGAACAGAGAAGCCAGATCATGGTGAGAAGGGGACATCATCACTACAGAGGATGAGGGCTTGTATAGAAGTGGGGATGGGCTAGGAAGGACGGAGAGGAGACTGGTACAGGTAGAGGTAGCTCCTACCAGGAGAGCTAGAGGGATAGAAGTGGGGAGATGGGGTACGCAGGTGATAGGTAATACTTTACAAGGGGATTGGAGGGCCCCACGATCATCCATTAGACACCTACCCTGTCTGGGCTGAGCATGGAGCTGCAGGGAGATACAATATACAGTGTTGACTCTGGAGGCTAAATGAAGCCCTGACATAGGATTCCAAGTGAGACAGCTCCATCCTGGAGAAGTCAAATCCACCCGATGTCATGGGACAAGGAAGGGAATGGGCAGGTGGCAGTGCCAGTTTGGAGCAAGAATGGGTTTAACTGGGAAGTGAGGCAGGTGCTGAGCCTGGGGAATGGTGTGGGGAGAGTACAGGGCAAGGTCAGAAGAGGCAGCTGCTGCTGGGGGGTGACTGCAAGGAAGAGAAAAGAAAATATTGGCAGAGTCACAGGAAGGGAAGAGCTAGGGGAGAGGAGTCTGAAATAAGGTCAGAATATACAGCCCAGATGACATCTAAGCCTGAGGAAATCAGGGGCATCAAAGCCACAGCAAGGGCGGCTCACCGTGGGCGATGGTGAGTGTGGTCCCCTCTATCGACTGCCACTGCTGCCTTCCTTCTTTCAGTGTGTTTAGAGAGACTCGGCAGAAGTACGAGGTCTTGTCCTCCTCTAGCAGGTTCAGGATTCTGAGGACTCCAGACGTCTGACCCTGTGTCCAGTTCAGGGTGACCCGGTTCTCGAAGTGCTTGTGTATGAAAGACGGGGTGCTGCTGTAGAAAAATTTCCCATGGAAGTGCTTCCATCTCCAGGAGATCCTCATCTGGGGATTCTTTGCCAACTTCCCGGGGAAGTAGAAGGAGAAGGGGATGTCGATGGAACCGCCCAGGACACCAGACAGGTATGGTGGTTGTTCAACACCATAGTCATATTTTCTGTTGGCTCCTGCTTGGTTACCTGGGGTGGATGGGGAGAATCTGAAGTCACCGCAGGGGCAGAGTGGACAATCCAGACCTTCCTGCACCTTCATCCACAGACAGGACTGTCCCTCTGGATGGTAGGGGGTGGGTGGGTAGGATGCCCTCTGAGGGACAAACAGGACTGGCTTCCTCCCTAGCAGACACTTTTGCACGTGGTAGCCCACTCTCCCCAGTCCCGTTGGTTCCTCCTGTGGTTAAGGCAGAGTCCCTGCTAGTGAGGTCCCCACCACTCACCAGCCTGCAGGGATGCTAGTGGCAGCAGCAACAGCAGGATCCAAGCCATGGCCTGATTCCCTCCAGGGGATGAGAGAAGCAGAGCCATCCAGAAGGAGAGGAGGCCCTGTGAGGAGCTCAGGGAGTGCTCAGGACCAAGAAAGATCAGGAAAAGTGACCATATCCGCAGGCCAGACTCCTTCAGAAGACTGAGGGAGGGAGGAACCTCCCCATCTCCACCTCCTTGTGGCCAGCAGCTTCCTTTATCAATCTGGCTTCTCCTTTTCCCAAAATGCACCAGAGCCTCCCCTGTGGTCACTGACAAGTTGCCCTGGTCCTTGAGCCCAGCCCCCATCTTCTGCTGGGAGATGTGGTCTTGACCTTGACTGGGCAGCCCTCCCCTTTCTCACCTCAGCCTCCTGCCTTATCCAAGCTTCACATGTCCTGAACTGCCTGTCCCCTTCACTCTTCTAGGTGGAGGCTCTGGGTTAACAGCTACCAGACCCTGGACTCTTTCCAGCCAACGCTGTTTTCTGGATGAGGTGATTTTCAGATACCGGACTCTTTTTGCCACTGTCTCCTTTTCAGCATACCTGGGCTGGGACCTCAATTTGAGAACCCTTGTTCCCCTTCCCCACAACCAATAGACCTAATGTCCTGTGCTTTTCTGTGCCCATGTCTTGGAAACATAGCCACAATCTGTAGTTGGAATGACAGGCCCCCCTGTTCCACTCTGGCCCCTCCCACCCCACATCAGCCTAGCCAGGGCCTTCTCTCTGGTCCTGCTGAATAAGCCATCAGATCTGAGTTGGTATTCATAGGCCTTGGCTTCTGTCGTTCCTGCTGAAGTCCTCTGACCACCTCCTGTGTATGGTGGCCCCACAGGGCTAGAGTTGAGACTCCAAGAATAATATACAAGGCAATGACTTGAGGCCTGGGACTGACTGTCCACTTGATGTCACAATGTTTTGGTCTCGTAGCTGTTCTAGGCTAGCCCCTGGTGGGGGCATTTGGGCTGAGGAGGAAAGGTCTGGGACCAGTTCAGGGCTATGGTAATTGAGAGGCTAGACTGCCAGGAAGGCAGTGGACCATGGGGAGGGCAGAGGGAGACTACTGGGCTGTACTGGAAAGACAGTGCAGTTTAGACAGGAAGCCCTAGGGCTGCAGGAAGCCCAGGGTTAGGTGCAGGTTGTAGAGGATAGGCAGCTGGCCTCCCAGAAGGGAGGCTGGAGGCTGAAGTCATCCCCTAAGCAGGGACAGGGCAGTTAGGCTAAAGATATCAGAGATGTGTTGAGGAAGGAAGGCATAGGGTGGCTTAAAACAGGAAGGACTGAGTGGAGCGTTCTTAGGAGGCTGGTTGCTGGTCTGCCCAGAGCTGGGTGGTTAGGAGAAGGGACAGCTGGTAGAAGCTCTAAGCTAGTGGTTGGGGATGGTCTAACCCCCACATCCCCAGCAGTGGTGAGGCAGGGGCAGGGCTATAAACTCAGGTCACCCTGCCTCGGCCCCCACTCACAACTCCTCTGAGGCTATCCCCTCATCCCTGGCATCTTTGTATCTTGTGCTAAGGCCCTGTGGGGACCATCGGACCCCTCAGCAGCAAGGTCAGCTGCCACCTGATGGAGACAAGATCGCCCACAGAAGTGTTCCTTTGTAGGTCCAGGGGTGCCAGCAGAAGGCAGCCTCTGCCCACTAGGGATGCCCATACTCAGCTATCTCCCTAAAAGTGCCTCTGCCTCTCCACCCTATGGCCCTGCATAGAATCCCCAGCGGCTCTGAATCTCAGGAATTCTTCTTTATTATATGTTCTTGGTTTAATTCTTATTTTATGTGTATGAGTGTTTTGCCTGCATGGATGTAAGTGCACCTGTATCATGCAATGCCTGTGGAGGTCAAAAGAGGGTGTCAGATCCCCTGGAACTGGAGTTAAAAATAGTTGTTAATTTCCATGTGGGTGCTGGGAACTGAACCCAGGTCCTCTGCAAGAGCAGCCAGTGCTCTTAACCACTGAGCCATCTCTCCAGCCCTCAGGTACTCTTTTGAAAGAGTCTACCCCCTGGTTGTCTAAGCCTAAACAGGCCAGTCCAAGCAATTAGTCACCCAGCCTGTAATCTTCATGCCCCTTCCCCCAGATCCCCTTACTCTTCTTGTGTAACCCCATTAGCAAAGACAGTCTCTAAGATAACCAAGTCATGCCAGTCGCCAAGCTAGAGTGACCCAGAGATCCAAACCTGGGGGACCTCGCGGCTCACAGGGCTCTCACTATGTTGTCTCCTGTGCCGATGATGTGGGGGCCCAGGCTGCCTGGTTCATGCAGAGTAATGTGCTTCCTAGATGGGACAGTCAGTGGTGGATGTGCCTGTGTTTAGTATCTGTATCTGCCAGGGCCTTTCTGCCAGCCTCTGAGTGGCCAGCAGGGAGCAGTGCACAGTTCCCTAGTCATTGGAGAAGAGCAGAATGCCAGTGTGGGGACCGACAGAGGGTTCCCAGTCCCTGGTCCCCCTCTTCTGTCTGAACATCAACTCAGTGGAAGAGGGTACCAGTCCCCCACCCCCCAGGAAGTCCATCATGGGGAAGCCACAGAGTTGAAGTCCTATAAGCTGCTACCACCACAATTGTATCTCCCAGTCCCTAGTGTCTCTCAGCAAGGCCTGCAGGTTCAGGATGCTGCCTCCCCAGCCCCAGCCTCAGTCCCCATGCCCTCTGACTCTAACCTGGCTCCTTACTCCAGTGGTTGAATCTGCCTCTGACCTCTAAAGCTCCTGAAAAAGTAAAGGTTCAGCTACAGCCACAAACAGAGGGATCAGTTTATTGATATTGTTAGAGATATCACCTGGGAGTATGCAATTGCGAGTAGGCTTTCGACACACCCCTCCACTCACTCCTGCACATACATTGACCACATCTGCAGCCCACAGGGTACGAAGACCCCTATTGGAGGCTTAAAAATGTGAAGCTAGCTGGTGCCTAGGATGAAGACACCATAGAAGGGGATCCCAAAGGCCTGGAGGTGAACCTAGAGTGTCTGTCATTGAGCTGCTAAGCATCTTTCCAGGGCACTGTGCTCCAGAGGGTCAGTGACAGAGGAGATGTTGGGAGCAGGAGCAGTGTGGGGTAGCTTCTCTTCTGCCCAAGCATACAGTCCGTTCTCAGTGGAGATGAAGCTGTCATGTGTAGAGGCCGGTGGGGAGGCTGGAGGGACAGGCATCAGGGGCTGGTGTGGGGAGGATGTGGGGAGTGCTGTCCACTGGGGCAGGTGATGGTCAGGGTGGACTGTATCTGTATGCAGAGCTGCTAAGCGGAGGGTGGTTGTAGTGGCGTGGGGGAGGTGGAGGGTGGTCAGGGATGCTTGGCTGGCAGCCTGTGGGAGAAGGAGAAGGAGAGTCAGGTGAGATACCAACTCCCTGCCCAGCTATGGACCCCTCTGCTCTGCTTTAGACACCATCCTCCAAACCTCACCTGAGCTTGCTTCTGTGTCTGGGTGCTGGCAAGGGATGGCCGAAACTTACTGAGAGAGCTGGGAGACAGAAGAGGAGGAGTCAGAGGCAGAGGGCAGGCTAGCCCAGTGGTGTGGGGATTGTACTGGGGCCAGTCTCACCAAAGTCTCTGCCGGCACAGGAAGCATAGGATAAAGATGAAACCAAACAGGAGGACACCTGAGGCTCCCAAGATCCTGGCAAGGTCTGTTTGGAGAATGAGAGCTGGAGTCGGGGCAGGGAGCCCTGGACACAGAGAAAGGTGTTAGATGGGCAGTGAGTGCCTAGGTCCTCCTGTCGGCCCCCTTTCCCCAGCCACACCTTGGTCTGAGCTATGCAGGTCTCCACACGCATCCCTGGAGCCATGAGGGAAGATAACAAACTCACAGCAGAAGGTGGTGTTGGCCAGGGAGCTTCTTGCCTGGGACTGTTCCAGGGTGAGGGCGAGGGAGACACTGTTTTGGGTTTCCCAGTGGGCTTGGCAGGCAGGGGCCCACTGCTGGGTGCCAAGTTCTGGGTGCAATACAGCTAGTTTGGTCCCTCCAGCACCAAGCAGCCCTGCCCAGCTCACTGTTACCAGGGAGATGAAGCCAGACCCCAGGAACCCACAGCGAACTGAAAGGGATGGGAGCTCAGTGGCCTCTATCTGGACTTGCAACCACACCTCTGGGCTTCCTGGGGAATGAGGACAGGAAGGTCAGTGGCTGGGTCTCCACACCATCCACCTCTCCCCAGCTCTGCCTCTCTCTGGCCTCCCTACTCACCTGCAGAGATGCAGAGGGTCAGCAGTGCTGACAGCAGGACCAGGGGCTGGAGCCAGGTCATGGTGCCCTTGTGGCTCCAGCTCTGAGAGCTGCAGAGACAGCCTGTGTGTTTCTGTTCTCATGGCAGGAAGTTTTCATGTTGTCAGCAGTTTGGGCTACTGCAGTGGCTCCCCACAGCCTAGCCCCATTTCCTTTTCTTGGGCCCCAGAGGTAGTGAACTCAGGGTGTTGGATTCTTTCTTAAAGTGGCAGTGACAGAATTTGCTTGCCACTCCCTAGGTGGGCAGAGGTGGGAGAAGCTTAGGGTGTGTGTGTGGGAGGGGTGCTGATGTTAGTCAGTGAGGAGAAGATGTTCTTGAGGGACTCAGCCCATCCACCCTCCCAAGCCCCACCTGCCTAGAAGCCCAAAGACAGAACTTCACCTGCCCCACACTGAGATCCATTTCCCTCCTCAGCACCATCTGCTTTGGTCACCTGGTCATTGGCACCTGACTTCCAGTTACTTATGCCTATGCGACGGACCAGCCCAGACCGGGGCAGTTCAGTCCGACGGGAACAGGGTAGTCGAGAGGGTGGACAAGGAGTCGGCTAGTGGTCATTGGCACCTGACTTCCAGTTACTTATGCCTAAAGTATGGTCACCTGTGACTCTTCTTTTTCATCTTGCCCATCAGGATGTCCTGTTGACTCCCATCCTGACCAACTGACTTTTCTCTGCCTCTCCCCAACTTCCGTGTGTACTCATTTAACACCTCATCTGTCAGGAGGGTGAGAAAAACAAGTTGGCCAGCTGGTCTCCCCACATTGACTTTGGCTTCTCTGAGGCAGTCTATGTGACCTGCACAGCAGCCCAATTTCACTGGGAGCCAAAGGCCTACCCTGCTTCCCTTACCTCCCTTTACCCCCTACCTTGCCAGCATGCTTATTTGTTGAATTTGGTGGTGTCAAGGACATGCTGGTGTTAGGGATTTATTTTGCAGTTTTTCCCTTTGTAAACTCTGTACTCCTAAGCTTCAGTGCTGAATTTCAAAGGTACCAACCATTCTCAGTCTTGCACTTATCAATTATCAATAAAGGACTCCTTTCCCTTTTAATTGGCTTATGCGAGTGATGGTGGTCTGTAACTCTTCCGCCTGGGTGTACTACTACTGAATGAGCTGCTTCCTCAGCCTGTAAAACTACTCTGGTTTTATAGGGTTTTTTTCTTTTGTTTTGTTTTTCTGTCTGAGACGAGTTCTCTCTGCAACCATAGCTGACCTGGAGTCTCTATGGAGACCATGCTGGCCTCGAACTCACAGACAGAGATCCACTTGCCTCTGCCTCCTGAGTGCTGGGACTAAAGGTGTGTGCCACTGTGCCTACCTTATAGTTTCGTTTTTAATGTTTAACTCTATGAAGAGTTTAAGTCAATGGGCTTTTATGGGTAGGGATGAAGCCAGCTGCGTACCATTTGAGGAGGAAAGGCAGATGCCTGCAGACTATTAGTAGACTTTTCTTACTGTTTCAAAATGCCACCTGATCAGCAAATGAATTTTGTTTTTTGAGACAGGATTTCCCTGTAGTTCCAGCTGGCCCGGAACACACTATGTAGACCAGGCTAGCATTGATCTCACAGAGATCTACCTTCCTCTGCCTCTCAAGTGCTAGGATTAAAGGCACATGCTACCTATCATGCCTAGATGGAAGATGAACTCTTACTAATAGGTCTTTTCTTTCCTGATCTATTGGATTTTTTTTTTTAAAGAAAAAGTCTCAATATGTAGCCCAGGCTGGTCTTTAACTCATGATCTTCCTGCCTCCTGAGTTCTAAGATTACAGGCATGTGTTTTCATACCTCGATATGACTTGCTTATTCCTATTTCAGTATCACACAGTCCTCGCTAGAACTCTTTCACATTTTGATATTTATGAGGCCTGCATTGTTGGCCTCTTCTGACTGGGCCTAGAGGTACAGTCATGATGACCCAGGTCTGGCCATGGTCACCTCTTTCTTTTCTTCTTTATTTATTTTTATGGGACTTTTGGCCACTCTTAACATTCCCCCCTCTGAAGAGGTAACCCTAAAATCTTTTAAGGATTAGATACAAACTCCCAAATACTTTTGACATTTTTGGCCTTTGGAACAGAGTCTGTTGCTAAGAGGCCCAAGGACATTTTGACTTTTAGCCAAGAAACTGGCTACTTTTCTTTGGGGTCTTTTTATCCTAACTGCCTAGCCAATTCCCTCCTCCTATTCTTATCACTCCATCCTCTGAAGAGGTTATCCAACTTGCCAATAGGGAATAGGGATGCAGACTGCCTCTGGCTTCTTCCATGCTGAACAGGGACACAGGGTGAGGCAATTGGAGTACCCCTTTAGTGGGTCTATCTAAAAGACTCCTAAATCACATAAATCTTATCTCTATGGGAAAAGAAAGTCCTTGAATCGTGAAGTAAAGGCAAGAGTAATTAGCGTTACAAGTTCTAGACAGGGAACTAGAAAAAAGAACACAAATGTTCATATGAGAGTCCATTTGAATTTCTTGACAAGGGCTTCCAAAAGCATCCCTCCATTGGGTTCCTCCTCATTTTTCTTTTGTCTTCCAAGGCTGGACTGTAGAGTGATAGATTCAGGATTTGCTTTCAGGTATTTTGATACCTGTTGGAGTGGTTAGAATCAGTGTCAGTTGCCTCTGAAAGGATGGTCACCTCTTTCTATCTTATCCTATAGCTGTAGCCCATGGCCTGCTGTGTAGTGGCTGGAATAGCAGCTGTAGTTATGCTCATGAACATTTGAGGTAGTCACAAGTTCAGTGCTCTGCAACTTATAGAAAGCCAACCGAGCCTTGTGATAGTCAATATTGTCAACTTGACAGGATCTAGAACCACAAAGGAGACAAATCCTTGCGTGTGTCTATGAGGGAGTTTCTAGACTGGGTTGACTGAAGTGGGAAGCACCACTTTTAACTATGTGTGGGCACCATTCCATGGGCTGGAGTCCTGGGTTGTATAAAAAGGAGAAAATGAGGGGCTGGAGAGTTGGCTCAGTGGTTAAGAACAGCTGCTGCTCTTGTAGAGGACCTAGGTTCAATTCTCAGCACTCACATGGCCGCTCACTACCACCTGTAACTCCAGTTCTAGGGGATCTGATGCCCTCTTCTGGCCTTCAATGGCACTGCATGAATGTGGTACACTTACATGCAGGCAAAACACTCATCCACATAAAATTTTTTGAAAAGGAGAAATTGAGCTGAGCACAGCATCCATGTCTCTCTTCTTTCTGACTGCAGATGGGACGTGACCTGCCACCTCACATTCCTGCTGGCATGGCTTCCTTGCCATAATAGACTCTACCCTGGAGCTATGAGCCACTACAAACCCTCTCTTAAGTTACTTTTGTCAAGTATTTTGTCACAGCAATAAGAAAAGTAACTAGGGGCTGATAAAATGGCTCAGTGGTTAAAAATACTGAATGTTCTTGCAGAAGACCTGGGTTCGAATCCCAGCACCCACATGGCAGCTAATAACTGTAACCTGGGTTCAAATTCCAGCTCCCACATGGTGACTAACAACCGTCTGTAACTCCAGTTCCAGGGGTCCGACTCCCTCTTCTGTCCTCCATAGCCACTGCACTACCTGGGTGTACTTACATACATGCAGGGAATGCATAATAAAAAATAAAAAAGAAAAGAAAAATAACAAGTACAGTTTCCAAAGAAGCAAATCTGTGTGACTGGAGGAGTCTGTCAGCATAGCCAGGATACTCTGCCATGTGACTTGGACCCTGAAAGAAAGTTAGTGGCTATATTAGTTTTTGTCAACCTAACACACTACAGACACCAGGGAAGAAGGAATCTCAAATTGAGGAATTTCCTCATCAGATTGGCTTGTGGCTGTGTCTGTGGGGCATTTTCTTGATTGCTCTTTGATGTAGGAGGGCCCAGGCCACTGTGGGCAGTGCCATCCCTAGGCAGGTGGGCCTGGGCTGTGTAAGAAAAGTAGCTGAAGGTGAACCTGAAAGCAGTCAGTAAGCAGTGTTCCTCCATGGTCTCTCCTTCAGTTCCTGCCCTGACTTCCCTCAGTAATGGACTGTGACCTAGGAGCTGTAAAATGAAATAAGCCATTTCATCCCTACGTTGCTGTTGGTCAGAGTGGTTTATCACAGCAACAGAAGAAAACAGTGGTCATCCTTTGGTGTCGCCGATTTCGTTTTGGTTTCTCTTTTGATTTTGGCTAGCTGGCAATTTTCACCATCTGATTCTGGGATCTGATCAGCCTTACCAGGTGGGAAGCTGGACGGGGTACCGGAGGGGACGCCCCTGGACCCAACTGGCTATGAAGTCTAACGTTTGGTCATTTTTCTGGAACTTAGACCTAGTGGCAACCTGGTCAATGTTGCTTGCTTGTGCATGTCTTGTTCTGTGTTTTGGATTGGTGTCTGTTTTTGTCATGGATCAGAGTGTGTCTAAGAGTGCTACCCAGTTAGAGTGTATGTTGAACAACTTATCTGATTTCAGGTCATGTTTTGGGTGCACCTAGTTTTAATGCAATTATGTCACATTATGTCTCCTGTGCTGAGATCTCAAATCTGTCATGTATGTCTATGATTATTGTCTTCATATGTTTCCACCAAAAACCCTAAATATCTTTAAATTTATTGGCTGAACTGGTTGTTTAAGGACCTTATTTGTTAATGTTTGTTTTAAAATATCTCTTTGGTTTGCTCGCTTTGGAAGTATTTTGGTTTTGACATCCTTGGTCTGGTTTACATTGCTTTTAGACCTCTAAAGGCTTGAAAATTATTTGAGAAAATTAAACTGCTGTTGGCTATAGGTTTGATCTAATATGTTAACTCATCTTCATTGCTGGAAATGAATTCTGGGACTGGTCTCCCTGTCTCATTTTTTTGGCCTTGTCCTTTTCCCTCGGTTTCCAGCAGCACTGCTTGATATGCAGGCAGATACGGTCTGTTTGGGGAGGGACACTTTTTGTCCTTGGAAACTCTGCTGGCTCAGATATGACTGTGCTTTTCTCCCTTGGAACAAGAAAAATCAGTCTTGGTTTTAAAACTGGTTTGTCATGACATTATGTCTAACCGTAGTATTTATTATATGAGACGATTATAAATGTATAGACATGTTTAATACCAAGAGAACTATTATTAAATAATTTACTAG